TGAAAGAGCTCGTGGATCAAACGCTGCAAATTCCTTCATAAGTTTCAAGCTTCAAGCAATCAAGTTCAAGTTCAAGCTCAAGAACGAAAAACAAATCAAGTTCAGGCTCAAGAACGAAGAACAAATCAAGTTCAAGTTCAAGCAATCAAACTCAAGATCAAGAACAAAGTTAAATTAAATACAAGGCATTCAAGATCAAGGCTACTTGTTCGTGATACAATTCGTGATAATAATCAAAGTGTTCGCGATGGATAAATTAAATTCAAATTCAAGATCAAGCTCAAAGGCCCTTGAATTTATATTGGAAAAGTAGAATCAGAGGAATCATAGAAGTTTTAACATTCAAATTACTTGAAATCAAATACTACGATTGTTGCGATATTTTTCGATCTTGATTTTATTTTCTCGATGCAATTTAATGTCTACAGAAGTGTATTTACTATTTTTACATCATTGTTATTGAAATTGTTATTTGTGGCTTGAAATATTTTCTTATATTTTTAGGCAAACCATAGTCCCTACGGGTTTCGAAAAATCCATTATTCTAATATTGTCCTTGTCAAATTGGAAATTTTTTCTCTTATAGGTTTGGGACTATTTGATATATATAGGGGTTGTAGCTAGGGATTCCATAGATTGTATGGTGCTTTTCTTCTCATTCATAGTGGAGACTCTCTCTTCTTTTTCCTCGAGGATTAGGCTTAGTCGAACCTCGTTAAATTCTTGTGTTATTATTTTCTTCTCTATTTTCTTTGTGTGTGATTGTGTGCTAGTTAACCCACGGTCTTTCGCAATAATTGATATCAGAGAAAGGTTCGGGTTTCTACATATAATCTAGGTTAAGATGTCTTCATCTTCTTCAACAAAGTATGAAGTAGAGAAATTGGCGGGGGTTCTAGTTTTAGTCTATGAAATTGTCCCTAGTGTTACAGACTTATGGAAGGCAACTGATAAGGATTTTTCTAAAGAGATGAAAGAAACAGAGAAGACAGACCTGAAGGAGAGGGCTTTGAGTGTGATATTCATGAGCGTTACAGATAGCGTTCTTCAAAAAAGTATTGAAGAAACATATACAACAACAACATGGAAGAAGTTGGAAGATTTGCATTATAAGAGATCACTGACAAACTGTATCTACCTGAAAAAAAGGTTATACAATCTCCGTATGAACGAAGGTTCACCTGTTAAAAGTCACCTTGATGAGTTTAATTCAATTATAATAGACTTGAAGAATATGGATATCAAAATTGAGAGTGAGGAGCAGGCCTTGATTGTGTTATGTTCTTTACCGCCGTCTTATGATACTTTTGTCGATATGCTGCTATACGGGAAACACAATATTTTCATACAGTAGAATTGGGGGCGAGGGTCTTGTGAGTAGAGGAAGAACAAAAGAAAAGGACTTTAACAGATAAAAGTCAACTGCCAGATCAAAGTCTAGAGCAAGGAAGTAGAACTGTTATGAGTGTAGAGAGCAAGGTCACTACAAGAGAGATTGTCATAAGCTGAAAGAGAAAAGAGGGAAGCAGAAAGTAGATAATTCGGCACATATTGTTGATACTGGTAATAATTATGATAATAGTGACTATGTAGGGGAAGTATGTGCTATGAGTTCTAGTCATGGGCAGAAGTCCTAGCTTTTTGATTCCGGTGCTACTTTTCACATGTGTTCATACAATAATTAGTTTGCAACTTACAAGCAGATGAGTGGGATTGTCTAGATTGGAGATGATAATCCATTACCAATAGAGAGGATTGGTAATATCAGATTGAGAATGTTCAATAGAATTATTAGAAATATTGAATGTTGGCATGTTCCTCGGATAAAGAAAATTTTGATTTCTCTTTCAACATTGGATGATCAAGGGTATAAGTTTCACTCCGAGAATGGAACACTTAAAGTGTGTAAAGGATCCGTAGTACTCATCAAGGGTAAACTGCATTCTAAATTGCATCATCTTCAGGTCAGTGTAGTTGAAGGGGAAGCTGCTATAGCTTCTGAAAAAAGTGATCAAAATCAATCTCAGTTGTGGCACATGCGACTTGGTCATATGAGTGACAAAAGATTGTCTTTGTTGGGCAAGCAGAATTTGCTGGATGGATACAAAAATCAAGTTTTGAATTTTTGTAAGTATTGTGTGTTTGGTAAACAGAGCAAGGAAAAAATTCAGCACGAAGGCAGAGCACAATACCAGAGACAAGTTAGATTATATACATTCGGACTTGTGGGGTCCAAAGAGAGTTCCCTCCAAGAGTGGTGCCACGTATTTTATGACTTTGATTGATGATTACTCAAGGATGGTGAGTGTGTATTTTCTAAAAACAAAATATGAGGCATTTCCAACATTTGTTAAATGGAAAACGATGGTTGAGAGGCAGAGGAAAAGAAAGTTAAGTGTCTTCGAACTGAAAATGGTTTGGAATTTTGCAATTCTGAGTTCAATATTTTTGCAGCAGAGAGGGCATAGTAGGACACCACACTTGTGTTGGAACACCACAATAGAATGGCGTTGTAGAACGTATGAACAAAATGCTTTGTGATAGGGCACGAAGCATGCTTTCACACTCATGTGTTAGTAAGGATTTTTGGGCTGAAGCAATCAATACAACTTGTTATTTGGTTAACAGATCTCCATCCACAACTATTGGGTTCAAAACTCCTATTGAGGTATGGTCTGATTCGCCTGCTGATTATTCAAATTTAAGGATATTTGGTTGTCCTACTTATGCTCATGCGAGGAATGGAAACTGAGCCGAGGGCAAAGAAGTGCGTATTTCTAGGGTATGCAATTGGAGTGAAAGGTTATAGGTTGTGGTGAACATATCAAAAGATTTTAGGGATAATTATCTGTAGGGATGTAACATTCAATGAATCTGCCTTACTGGACAGTCAATGGGAGACGGTAATAGAAGAAACATATCGTGATATCAGCGACCGCATAGAGCTAGAAATTGAATCTCCACTAGCTCAACCCAGTAGTTCTAAAGTAGAGAAAGTGAAGAGCTACAAAATATTAATCAAGATGATAATATTAATGCACATGTGTAACATCAACCATATAGCATCGCAATATGCATATAAAAGAGAGTGATCAACTCCGTAAAGGTTTGCAAACATAGTTGATGGGTATCTTCTTGGATATAAGAATCCTGTTAGATTTTCTTTTGTAGTTGTAGAGACCGTTGATGCATTTGAATTCTATCGCTATCCAGAAGCTATTCCAAGTACAGAACCAAATTGACATATTAGTTCTATGGCTGAAAAGATTGTGTCTCTTAACAAGTTTAGGCGTTGCCTAGACTTGGTTAATGTGCCCGAAAATGGGTAGAGCCCTTGCGAGGGCTGATGGAAAGGTAGAGAGATGTTGTTCCTGTTGATGAAGAGAACTCCAGCCAAAGGGGAGATTTGTTATTTGTGGCTTGCATTATTTTCTTGTATTTTTAGTAAAACCATAATCCCTATAGGTTTGGGAAACCCTATTGTTCTAATAGATTTGGAAAAAGAAAACTTATTGCCCTTGTTAAATTGGGAAACCTTTCTCTTATTGATTTGGTACTATTTGGGATCTATATATAGGGGTTGTAATTGGGGATTCTATAAATTGTATAATATTTTTTTTTTCATTCATAGTGGAAAACTCTCTCTGCTTCTACCTCGAGGATTTGGCTTAACTGAACCTCGTTAAATCCTTGTGTTATTATTTTTCTCTATTACTTTGTGTGTGATTGTGTGCTAGTTAACCTACGATATTCCGCAATAGAAATAGTATTTCCTTGAAGGGCAAAATTACCGTTTAAACTTTTAATGAGTATTTTGGTAATTCAATCCAATACTTAGGACCTCTCCGCTTATAATATAGTACGATATGATGATTAGATCGAATATGAAGAATCGGGCGCTTAGATGAATGTCCCAGTGCTATCTGTTGGGTTTTGTTATTAATAACAAAAGAGGTGTGAATGGAAAATGGTGAAAAAGAAATGGAGGGAAGTGCAATTTTGAATTAGTTCACTTTACTAATGCACTTTATCCCTCATTGGAAGAAGGAAAGAAAATCTTTGTGTATATATAGAGAAGCTCATCTTCTAGCTCTTAAAGAGTTAAGAAGAAGTGGTGCCTCGCGCCATCGTCATCGCTCGCTCGGCTTCGGCTTCGGCTTCGGATTTGATTGATTGATAAGTTTTTGGACCAAATTTATTTTCTTTTTCCATCATTTAACATTTTCTTTTCTATATATTTTTCGCGTTAGAAGATCGCAGAATCATTTTCGCGCGTTGGAAGATCGCGAAATTATTTTCGCGACCAACAGCTGAATAAACACCAAAACGTTCCATTCAATAGCTTAATAGACACCTTATCAACGAACATGCACCTTTGCACCTGTTGGGACTCAACTTTGCTGGCTATAAATAGAAAGGGTTAGCCTCATTTTCCACCACCGAAAAATCTGAAATCTCTCCCCTCAAACTTCTGCATTGTGCATTGGTTTTTCAAAAATAAAACGTATGCATTTTGTGTGATTTGCTCCGCCATTTGAGTTCACCGAAATTCTGTGATTTGAAGTGCCGCTATCACAGAATAGTTATTCCGTTCTATCCTGGGATGAATTAATCTGCAACCTTGGGCATTATGAGGGGATTAAATTCCTTAAGGAAACACAAGAAACTTGTGGGCTCGGAATTTTTTTTTTCTGATTTATTTTTTAAACTAAAGTTTGTTGATTTACTGGTCTTGAAAGCAGATTGATAAAAAGCTTAAGGAATTTAATATTCTGTATTCATTTTACTTTCTAGTTTGGGATACTAAAATCGTATTGATTTTCAACTCATGTTCTAGAAATTAAAATCTTCGAATTTTCTACTCCAGTTTGAGATTAAAAGTCTTGGTGACTTTCTACTCAATCCAAGATATAAAAACTCGGTTGTTTGTATTCGGTTAGAAGATATAAAAACTTCACCGAGATACTAGTTTTGTTTGTGTCAATTTCTTTTACAGAAAAATGACAATAAGTACGAAACACCAAAATGGTTCTGATGGAACGACTACTACTGGACTTCAAGTCGCACAACGCCTGGACCGGTAATGGCACCGGCAGAAAAGCCCAGAAAATTTTCCGGCATGGACTTCAAATGCTGCTAGCAGAAAATGTTCTTCTACTTGACCACTCTCAATCTGCAGCGCTTTATTAGCGAGGACATTCCAGTCTTGGGAGAAGAGACTCCGGATAATGAGCGATTTGTGGTCACGGAGGCGTGGAAGCATTCTGACTTCTTGTGCAAAAATTACATATTGAGTTGTTTGGAAGATGATTTGTACAATGTTTACAGTGTCATGGAGACTTTGAAAGAGTTGTGGAACGCTCTTGAAAAGAAGTACTGAAAAGAAGTACAAAACGGAAGATGCTGGACTAAAGAAATTTGTTGCCGCAAAATTCTTGGACTTTAAAATGGTTGACAGTAAGTCTGTCATAACTCAAGTTGAAGAATTACAAGTCATCGTTCATGACCTCCTTGCCGAAGGTATAAATCAAATCAATATCTTTATTAAATATATTGATTATATTATTAACCCTAAATTTATGATTGTAGGTATGGTCATAAATGAAGCGTTTCAAGTTGCGGCATTTATTGAAAAGTTGCCGCCGATGTGGAAGGACTTCAAGAATTACTTGAAACATAAGTTCAAGGAGATGACGCTTGAAGACCTTATTGTTCGCCTAAGGACTGAAGAGGACAACAAGGCTGCAGAAAAGAAGTCTCGTGGAAATTCAACAATAATGGGTGCAAATATTGTTGAGGAATCTTCAACGAGTAAAAAGAGAAAGAAGCCGTCTGGACCAAAGAATTACCCAAGCAAGAAGAAGTTCAAAGGTAATTGCCACAACTGTGGAAAGGTTGGACACAAGGTTGCTGAATGTCGTGCACCAAAGAAGGACAAGAAGAAAAGTCAAGCAAACATGATTGAGAAAAATGATGAAATAGACGATTTATGTGCCATGCTTTCAAAATGCAACCTAGTCGGAAATCCTAGAGAATGGTGGATTGATTCGGGGGCAACTTATCATGTTTGTGCTAACAAGGAGTTGTTTACTTCTTATGCTCCCGCTGGACCCAACGAGACAGTTTTTATGGCAAATTCCGCTACTGCAAAAATTGAAGGAACGGGCAAGATAGCTTTGAAGATGACTTCTGGCAAGATTGTGACTCTAAATGATGTTCTTCATGTTCCTGAAATGCGGAAGAATTTATTCTCGACATCACTTCTAGTCAAGAATGGCTTTAAGTGTATTTTTGTTTCCGACAAGGTTGTAGTTAGTAAGAATGAAATGTATGTAGGAAAAGGTTACCTGGCTGAGGGCCTTTTCAAACTCAATGTAATTGCCATTGATATGAATAAAATTTTTGCTTCTTCTTACTTGCTTGAGTCAAATAATTTATGGCATGAACGTTTAGGCCACGTCAACTTCAAAACTTTGCGAAAAATGGTTAATTAGGAAGTATTGCCTAAGTCTGAATGCAATAACTCAAAATGTCAAATATGTGTTGCCACACCTCTTTTTTTACCACCGGAGAGTATATAAGGGAGTTTTTCCAATTAAAGTGACATTATTCAAAATAGGATTATTTTATTTAATTTATCAGAGTCGCCACTTGGAATAGTTTATTTGGTGTCCCAAGTCACCGGTTTATTTTAAATCCAAAATCGAGGAAAAATAACTTTATTTAAAAGTCTGCGAAACCAGAAATTCTAGATAAAGAATTCTGTTAACCCGGGAGAAGGTGTTAGGCATTCCCGAGTTCCGTGGTTCTAGCACGGTTGCTTAAGCTGTTAATAATTGGCCCATTATCTGATTTACTACATGCTTTAACCCATTGTGCATTTTTAGATTTTATAACCTCTTTCAATTTATTTTTTTTGGAATTAATCTAGAACATGTTACGATTGTCGTACACTTGTTTGTTTATTGTACATGTTGCGAATCGTGTCACGGGAACCGTACCGACAACCCACAACATGCGTATTTTATTAACATTATTAGTTGTTGTGGCTGGGTCACATAAATGTACCCTTGGATTTTGGAAATTAAGTATCACAACTACACCACGGGAACCGTACCCGTAGTCATGATGATTTCATTATAAACGTGCCTAAAGCAACTACAAAAGTTCAATTTTAGTAGCAACATTTGTGAGCGCCATGGGTGATTTAAATTACTTATGGCACACCTCAAACCTTTTCTATAAGGAATAGTCTCTTAATCTAATTTATGAGGGCCATGAATTATAGATTTTAAGCATGGCACACCTCAAATTATTTTAAGAAAAAGGGTNTATATATATATATATATATATATATATATATATATATATATATATATATATATATATATTAAAGGCAAACTAAAGGTGCTCCTATTTTTATCTGATTTAAAATTAAGTATCACAACCACGTCACGGGAGCCGTACCCGTAGTTGTAATAATTTAAACACGTACCTAAAGCAAGCTACAGAATATTCATTAATTACTATTCTATATTCGGGATTATTGCAAGGTCTTGGCATATGAATAGATGCAGTAATATAAGGTTGAAGACTTGACTTTCTCAATATTCAACAATTGCTCTTATATACAAATGCGAGGTAAACTGTGCCACGTGGAGTAGGGAAACCTATATGCGTGTAACTTTGATTCATAGGGGAAGTTACAATATTGCTTGATATTTTGTAAGGAATAAATCACCTTCTTCTCGTATATTAATGCATGCAAAGAACAAACACAAACTATTTTAAAACTATAGGCACGTTTATCTGGGTCCAGAATTGCAACCAAATAACCCAGCTAAATAGGCTTTCCTACATCACTGTAACAAAGCCCATTGGAGTTACTGAGGGTCGAGTCCAAAATTCCATAGACTCTGAAAGAACACTCTAATAACTGAGCAACGACTAGCAATTGCTCAAAAATGAAATTCTTACAAAATAATTAAATACAACTTTAATTTCAAATCCAATTAATCAAGGTTTAGAACAAGAATCAGTGGCCATTTTAATTTTTACAACAATCAAGTGGTCTCAAAAGCAATTCATTAATGAAGCTAATTGCTAAACTATAGACTAAAACAACAGCCCTATATGCTTCAACACCAGACAATAGCTTAGCCATCATTCAGGCGTAACCTGTTCAAATTTGAAGCTCATACTTGAACCAATTATTATAGGAGAATGTTTATGATTAGAATTAAGAAATAACATGTGAACCAAGCCACTAAAACTGCAACTCAAGCCAACTTGTGGCCAGATCCACAGTTACCGACTCTCAAATCCAGCATTAGACTCTAATTTATCAGAAACCAAAGAAAAGACTTGAGCTTCAGTAATTAATACTCAAACTAAGCAACATATGATTATATGTATAATACACATGTTGAATTCTAGTAGAAATAGGTGAAATGTAAAATATTCTGGCCATAAATCACTGCTAAAACACATTCCATCTATAACCAATCTTCATGTAATTGCTATGTCAAAAACAAACATTCAAGTTGTGTTAAAAAACCAACAAGTAGCAGGTTTAACAAAACGCAGGAAGCAGTTTATATTTCAATACAAATCCAAAATAGAGTACAAGTGATAAATGTGTACCTAAGCTTGAAAAACAAAACCGAACCTTTGCCGGAAAAAGATCAAAGAAATCAGCTGCTGAATAAGCTCAACAGCAGGTTAGCAGCAGAAAAAGCCTAGAGAACCAAATAAACTGCAGCTTCTAGCTCAACTCAAGCAGGACCAGCAGTGAATCAAACCAGAAAACTTGTTCTAGTCCTTGAAACCCTCAGCCAAGACCCTACAAAATAGAAAGAAACTAAAAACTTCTTAAGAAATCTTTTTTGGAAATCTGGTTTTTTCAGCCGTTTGTGCCTTTTCTCCCTTTTTTCTGTGCCCTAATCATTGGCAAGAGGGTCCTTTTATAGAAGGAATTCTAGGGCAACAAAATCTAATTTGCCATTTTAAAAATGCCCCTTTAATTTCTAATTTTGTTAACTTAGCCCCCCGTGCCCCAGCATTTTCCCCCTCATTTATCTCTAAACAGACCCTTGTCAGCTTTTCTAGAAGCTTCCTATGAACTTCCTTCAAACCTTATCCAATTCCAAACCCCAGCACCCTTGTATTTACCCCTCTTTTCTTTTTGTTTTTTCACTGTTCTATCGGTTTAAACCCAGTGGTACTGAACTTGGGCCATTTTAAAACTCTAAGCCCAGTAAATACTTGGGCTTTCGTACCAACAGAAACCAAGTCTGAATTCTAACCCAAAACCAAACCAACTTATGCAGAAATAAAACAAATATTTGATTAAACAAAAACTAATGATGCATCTTTTTTAAGAAAACTATATATTAAGAAAATGATTAAACCTAATTAATGAGCTATTAACCACTGATTAAATAATTATGCCCTAAAATAATACTAATTAAACTTTTAGACAGAAGAAAGGGATCCCAGTAGATGAATGTGAAGAAAAGGGAGAACAATTATACCGATTAGATCGCCAAGAGCTTCGACAACTTGAGTAACGAATCCATTCGAACTCCGGTGAACCATGAAACTCGGCCAATGGTGGGAATTGTTACATGAATATTGGCCGGACTTTCGTCCATGGCTAATGCATCATGCAATAATTTTCACCACATGCCTCAAACGAGACGAAATAGAGGCTCGAAGAATTCGATTTGTTCAAAGCTATTTGTCCGAAATCTGGTCAACCCTATGAGATAGGGCATTCTTGACATCAAACGAACTCCCTTTGTTGAAAAACTGGAGATTCACAAGGGTTTTATCATGAATTGAGGGATAAATCAAGAAAAATCGAACAAAAGTGAAATGTTTGAATTTTTATTTCTTAGATTTCAAATTCGGATCTTTTGGGGAAACTAATGGCGGGACATGAATGAGGGGATGATGGAGGTTGGATGGTCAAAATTTGGAGGCTATTGGAGTTGCTCCGCCGCCGTGAGACGATTTCCGGGCGGCGGAGAGACGGCAGAGGTGGGCGGCGATTTCAGATAGAAGACGACTTAGGTTTTAAACTCAATTGGGCGGAATTAATGAAAACATGAAATTTGGGTCGTTTAATGGGGTGAATTAATTGAAACGACGTAGTTTTGCCATGCAACTATGTCGTTTTGGAGTGAAGGGGGGGGGGGGCTGACCGGGTATGACCTTTGGGCATAGGTTCTGGGTCGATTTTGAGACAAGTCTGGGCCGAGGAATTAGAACAATTTGAATTTCAGCCCAAAAATGTGGTAGACCTTTTGAATTCAATTTCTCTCTTTTTTTTTTTAAACTAATGAAATCCTCAAATTAAAAATTCTAAGTTATCTAAATTGCAAAAATTAAAACAATTACCTAATTACAATAATTATAAAAGCTACTTAATCCTAAATTAAAAAGTGAAAAATCAATAATAAAAAAATAAAAAATAAAAGGAAAAAGTGTAAAATTGAGCCATTTTTTTGTGATTTTCATTTTAATGAATAAATAATTAACCAGTTAATCCTAAAAATGCAAAAACACAACCTAATTGCAATGCATGGTATTTTTTGGTAGTGTTTCATGATTTAAATAAAAACTAAACAAGCATAAAAAAAATGCAAACAATTAATAAAATTCTAAAAAAATTCCTATAAAATAGAAAATAATTAACATAAAATCTATTTTCTTGGTACTTTATAGGAGTATTTTGCATAGGGAAAAAATCACATGCTCACAACTGTCCCTCTTTGCTCGAAAATACGACGGGTTTTCAGGCAAAGATAAAATGAGTAATTATGAGGGATTTTTGCTCGTTTGAAACTCCATGAGAAGCGTCTTTTGAAATCTGACTGAACCTAGCTTCAGAGGTTGCCTACATATCCTTGGCTATAAAGGAATCAGGTCAGTGTAGTTCTGGAAGTTTTGGTTGCTGGGACTATCGGGAAACTGTTTCACTGCTATTGCTGTTGTTTCTGCTTGCTGAGCTCCTTATGGCACCAACATGAAAGATGAAAAGCTAAACTAGCTAAGCCTATCAACAACGAGTTACAAGATTCCTATCTATAAACCTTCTAAAGCATGATCTTGAGTCTTGCCTGGTTCTTCCTGCAGACTCTGATTTGAATCTTGATGCTCGTTAGCGGCAACCGCTGGTTCATTCTTCTTCAGCTTTTCAGACCAAGGCGGGATATGCGAAGCTTGTGACTTCAATCAAATTTTGAGTAGTCCGCATCTTTTGTCTGCTTCTACACTCAGAGTTCAACTTCTTTTCTTGTTTCTTCTTTTCTTTTATTTGGGTTGAGACTTTTTCTTTTGGTCATCTCAAACCTTGTGCCTCACGGTAAAAAACTGTTCAATTACCAAAGCAAACAAACGAACGAAATTTTTTTGCCCCAGTTTTCACTAGGAAAATTTTGTGAGTTATTGCAACAAAATCCAAACTACTTCTTTATTGAAAGCAATTAAAATCAGGATTGTGTATCCTTGAGGAAAAGAGATTAGGGAGTGGAGACCCTATATCTAAAATGAAATCAAATGGGGATCGGAGGCCCTAAGTTGGGAAGGTTACCAGGTTATGCTGGAAAAATGACCGGGTTATGCCGGAAAAGGTAAAAAGGTCCTCGGGTTGTGCCGGGGAGGTCCACGAGTTATGCCAGTAAAGTCACCGGGTTATGTCGGAAAAGAAAAAGGTCCTCGAGTTATGTAAGGGAGGTCCACGAGTTATGCCAGGAAAGTCATTGGGCTATGCCGGAAAAGGAAAAAGGTCCTCAGGTTATGCCGGGGAGGTCCACGGGTTATGCCGGAAAAGAAAAAAAAAGGTCCTTGGGTTATGCCCGGGAGGTCCACGGGTTATGTCGGGAAAGTTGTCGGGTTATGACAAAAAAGGAAAAAAGGTCCCTGGGTTATGCTGGGGAGGTCCACGGGTTATACCAGGAAAGTCATCAGGTTATGCCGCAAAAGGAAAAAGGTCCTCGGGTTATGCTAGGGGGGTCCACGGGTTATGCCGGAAAAGATCATCGGGTTATGACAAAAAAGAAAAAGGTCCTCGGGTTATGCCAGGGAGGTCCACGGGTTATGCCGGGGAAAGTCATTGGGTTATGCCGAAAAAGAAAAAGGTCATCGGGTTATGCCGGGGAGGTCCACGGGTTATGCCGGGGAAGGTCATCGGGTTATGCCGCAAAAGAAAAAGATCCTCGGGTTATGCCGGGGAGGTCCACGGGTTATGCCGGGGAAGTCATCAGGTTATGCCGGAAAAGAAAAAGGTCCTCGGGTTATGCTGGGGAGTCCACGGGTTATGCCGGGAAAGGTCATCGGGTTATGCCGGAAAATAAAAAAAAAGGTCCTCGGGTTATGCCGGGGAGGTCTACGGGTTATGTCGGGAAAGTCATCGGGTTATGCCGGAAAAGGAAAAAAGGTCATCGGGTTATGCCGGGGAGGTCTACGGGTTATGCTGGAAAGGTCCACGGGTTATGCCGGGAAAGGTCATCGGGTTATGGCGGGAAAGAAAAAGGTCCTCGGGTTATGCCGGGAAAGAAAAAGGGTCCTCGGGTTATGTCGAGGGGGTCCACGGGTTATGCCGGGAAAGGTCATCGGGTTATGCCAGAAAAGAAAAAGGTCCTCGGGTGATGCCGGGGAGGTCCACGGGTTATGCCAGGAAGGTCCACGGGTTTCGCATAGGGCAAAAATCACATGCTCAGAACTGTCCCTCTTTGCTCGGAAACACGACGGGGTTTTCGGGCAAAGATAAAATGAGCAATTATGAGGGATTTTTGCTCGTTTGAAACTCCATGATAAGCTTCTTTTGAAAGAATCTGACTGAACCTAGCTTCAGAGGTTGCCTACATATCCTTGGCTATAAAGGAATCAGGTCAGTGTAGTTCTGGAAGTTTGGTTGCTGGGACTAATAGGAAGCTGTTTCACTGCTATTGCTGCTGTTTCTGCTTGCTCAGCTCCTTATGGCACAACCATGAAAGAAGAAAAGCTAAACTAGCTAAGCCTATCAACTACGAGTTACAAAATTCCTATCTATAAACCTTCTAAAGCTTGATCTTGAGTCTTGGCTGGTTCTTTCTGCAGACTCTGATTTGAATCTTGATGCTCGTTAGCGGCAACCGCTGGTTCATTCTTCTTCAGCTTTTCGGACCAAGGCGGAATATGCGATGTGAGCACGTGATTTTTGCCCTATATATGAATAATTCCCAAAATTTCAAACAAAATAATTTTTCTAGTATTTTATAAATTTTTGTGAATTTTGTGGCATTCTTTGGTAATTTTTGCATTTTTATTTGTGCATTTTAATCCATATGAAAATACCAAAAATATGCATTGGCATTTAGGGATTTAATTTCACAATTTTAGTGTTAATTAGTTTTAGAATAAAATGTAAAGGAAATTGCAAGAAAATAGTTCTTTGCATTGCTAATTATTGCATTTGTCTTTAAATAGAGTTATAAATAATTTTAGGAGTTAAATAGTGTAATTAGGTCTTTGCTTTGTTTTAGCATTTTATAAAATCAGAAAAATAAATAAATACAAAAATACAAAAAAAGGGGAAAAAGAAAAATTAAAAAAAATGGCCTTAATTGGAGAGCAGATTTGGGCCAAAATCAGTCAGCCCAAATGAAATCCCCAATCCAGGCCGGTCCATACCCGTCCCCTGTAACCCGGTCCAGCAACCCCATTCAAAACACACCGTTCTGCCCAGGTGAATCTCATCCGTTGATCCTTCAAGATCCAACGGATGAGAACTAAGTCTCAAATNCGCTTCAAGGAGAATGTTGTAAGACCAGTTCTCTATGCACTTATGAAACCAAGCGGTGTTCATGGCTTAAACAAACACAACAATGAGAACCAAAGATGGTTAAGGGTTGATTGTGTGACATATGGCTGTCTAGGTATATACAAAAGTTCGACGGTACAAAGATATCAAATCTACCGATTGATCGAGTATATCCGACATATGTTCACTATGGAAAGTTCAAAGGGAAAACTACTTATCCAGATGCGATTAATCCTTACTTGCAAATCATTCACAATTTTCATGTGTATTTGTTTCGGATAGCCATTCCCCATTCATGTGGGGGATTGTTGGTTTTTGTTATTAATAACAAAAGAGGTGTGAATGGAAAATGGTAGGAAAAAAAATGGAGGAAAGTGAAATTTTGAATTAGTTCACTTTACTAATGCACTTTGCCTCTCATTGGAAGAAGGAAATAAAATCTTTGTGTATATATAGAGAAGCTCATCTTCTGGCTCTTAAAGAGTTAAGAAGAAGTGGTGCCTCGCGCCGTCGTCGTCGCTCGCTCGGCTCGGCTTCGGCTTCGGATTCGAATTTGATTGATTGATAATTTCTTTGACCAAATTTATTTTCCTTTTACATCATTTAACATTTTCTATTCTAAATATTTTTCGCGTTGGAAGATCGCGGAATTATTTTCGTGCGTTGGAAGAACGCGAAATTATTTTTGCGACCAACAGCTGAATAAACACCAAAACGTTCCATTCAATAGCTGAATAGACACCTTATCAACGAACATGCACCTTTGCACCTATTGGAACTCAACTTTGCTGGCTATAAATAAAGAGGGTTAGCCTCATTTTCCACTACTGAAAAATCTGAAATCTCTCCCCTTAAGCTTCTGCATTCTGCATTGGTTTTTCAAAACAAAACGTAAGCATTTTGTGTGATTTGCTCCGCCATTTGAGTTCGCCGAAATTCTTTGATTTGAAGTGCCGCCATCACAGAATAGTTATTCCATTCGATCCTGGAGGAATTAATCCACAACCTTGGGCATAGTGAGGGGATTAAATTCCTTAAGGAAATACAAGAAACTTGTGGGCTCAGAATTTTTTTTTCTACTTTGTTTTCTAAACTAACGTTTGTTGATTTACTGGTCTTGAATACAGATTGATAACACTATCTAGTAGAATTAAAAATGTGGGTCTGGTAGGTTGTGGTTATGACTAAACACGAGTGTATAAGTGAAATAGGAAAGAATCTCAGGTACATTTATGGGAAAATTACAAATGATTAGACAAGAGATTTTCTTGTTATAAAAGAAGTGTTGGAATAAGATTTAAATTAAGGAAATGTTTACTTATGTTCGAAACTACTTTTTTGAGTAGAAATGGCATGGTGTAGCCACTATTTAAGGTGGTATTTATTTTTTATCCAGCAATTCTAATGTTGAGAAAAAATAGCCACTGCCCTATTAAAATTAATATGAAAAGACATTTTTACCCTTTCTTCCCTTGCTTTTCTTCCCAAACCCTTGCTTCTCTCTCTCCGTGCCTTCTCCATAACTGTTGCATTATGTTGAGGTGGCGGAGCCTATCTACACAGTCATTCTAATGTACATCGCTTGTAAGCATTCATTAAAAGACAAAAGCTCTTTAACAGAACTTTTCAATATTCATGGTTCAAAAGTTAGTAACAGAACTTTGTAAGTAGGGTGTAGACCTTCTGCTCTCCTTGCATGATTCAGTTGGAAAGCACAAAATAAAATAAACAAAAATAATGATTTCAATTCATAGCCAAAGAATAATGTCAAAGACTCTCCCAAATTTAAATCTATTAACTTTGATTTTCAAGTTCAAAAGTTAAGGACAGACATTAGTTACAAGTTCAAAACTTAAGGACAATAGGTCCTTAACTTTGATTTCCAAGTTCTAAAGTTAAGGATAGGCAGTCCTTAACTTTGAGTTTCAGTTTCAAAAGTTAAGGACAGGCAGTCCTTAACTTATAGTTTCAAGTTCAAAACTTAAGGACATGCAGTCCTTAAGTTATTGTTTCAAGTTCAAAACTTAAGGACATGCAGTCCTTAACTTTGAGTTTAAAGTTCAAAAGTTAAGGACAGACAGTCCTTAACTTACAGTTACAAGTTCAAAAGTTAAGGACGCTTGGTCTTGAAGTTTGAGTTCCAAGTTCAAAACTTAAGGACTTTCTGTCCTTAACTTTGAGTTTCAGTTTCAAAAGTTAAGGACAGGCAGTCCTTAACTTATAGTTTCAAGTTCAAAACTTAAGGAC